TCTTTCCAAAAGGTTACTCTTAAATGGTTGCTGCTCATAACAAAGAATTGATTGTTGGTCAAGCCATTGGCTTTTAGGAACTTCCTTGGCCAGTTTGGACTCTGCTAGGTGTTGCTAGGTGTTGGGGTGTTTTATACATTGGGGAAACATTGATTGCATTAATTGTGTCTCATGCCACTACTTCTGAATATGATGGTCAGGGGAAGGGTTGCATAATATCTAGAAATGGTCTATGAACCTATACTTCCCACAGTTCTCTGGTGTAATCTCCCAAACAGGAAAGAGATCTACTCCCTATACCCTCTTTAACACTAATACACACATATTTCTCCCTTGTGGGAAAGTATACTTCTAAATTTTATAGCATTTTTTCCTCGCCTCCCTTTTTTATTTTTTGATAGACTATATTTTAGCACTTATCTCATAGTTTCTCTTTCCCCAAAATAAGTTATACTAGATTTTTATATTAAGTAGAATCTGTTTTTTTAAAAAGTTATTTATTTTAGGAAAATTTACTTTTAAATATTCAAAATATTTTTGATCAGAGGAAATCAGAGATAGTGTATGTTGGTAGGAAACATTTGAAATATTTTAAGTAATCTAATGAATTTGAATTATTTGACTTAAATAAAAGAGCATTTAAAAAATGTGACATCCTTGGATTTATATTTGCTCTAATGCAAGAATTGAGGAGAGAGTTTGTGGGAAGAAAAGAGGTACTGTTTTATTCTTCAAAATCATTGACTTTGGAATAGGTATAGTCTCAAATTTTTTATAAAAATCTTTTATACATTCTTCCTAGGTGTTCCAGTTACTAATGGATCTGAAAGAGCAGCGTAAAGAAAGTGGAAAGAATAAACACAGTTCTGGGCAACAGAACTTGAATACTATCACCTATGAGGTAAGCCTAGGCTTCTGGAGGGTCTGTCTGTACTGCCATTGTGTGTGTGGGGCGGGGAGTGGTTTCTTCTGCAGATGACTGGTCACCAAATCAAGATTGCCTAGTACTTGATTTGAATAGTTTTACTATAACCTAGTTTTTATTCTGTTTATAAAAGTGGAAAGAGTTTGGCTATCTGCAAGGGTTAGCCAACTACAAAATTAGGGGGAAGAGTCTGTAACCCCGCCCTCACTTCTAAGACCAATTTCAAGTGAGGAATCCCACAACCAGTCTCAGATTCAATAATTCACTAGATGTACTCATAGAACTCACTGAAAGCTATCATATTCACAGTTACCGTTTATTACAGAGAAAGGATATAGATTAAAATTGGTCAAGGGAAGAAGCAAATAGGGCAGATTCTAGGAGAAATATCAAATGCAGAGCTTCCATTATTCTCTTAATGCGGAGTCAGGACACATTTCTCTTGTCCTGTGTGCGACAACATGCACAGAGTATTGCCAACCAGGGAAGCTCAGCTGAGCTTCAGTGTCTAGAGACTTTGTTGGGGCTCTATTACACAGGCAGAATTGAATAATTAATTGCCCATTTGATTCATCTCAGCCTCCAGGCCGAGTGATACTGCATGACCGAAAATCCCTACCCTAAGTCACATTGTTAATTTCAGATTGTCCAGTATGATCTAAGGCCCCAGACAAAGATACTCCTATTAAATATAACATTCCAAGAGTGGAGATTACCTCCCAGAAGCCAAGGGCAAAGGCCAGACCTCTTTGGGCAAAGCCAAATTCTTTATTGCACAGAAAATAATACTTTTTATTGCAGAAAACTTAGAACATACCAAAAGGCATAAAGAAGAAAGCAAAAGTAATTCATAATCTTACTATCTAGTGGACATTTTGCTGTGTTCTCTCCCAACCTATGCTTTGTCCTCAAAAAAAAAAAGTGTAAGTCATATTTTTTTATGGGTGATGTTTGATTTTGTATCTGTCATTTTAATTTTTTTCTTGCTATTTCCTTCCAATTCTGATTTTTGTCTCTACAGTAAAGATTTGGTTTTAATTTCTTTTGCTTTTCAAATAATCGTTAATCTTGAATTGTTATTTTAATTCCTTTCAAAGAGGGGGTTTAACACTTTTGTCACCATTACTCCCCATGTAATTTTGTTCATTTAATCATGTATTTAAAACTCTATCATTCATTTATTCATTCATGTTCTTTTACATTATATAATTAATCTTTTTCAAAGAAGAAAAAAAGTTTTTGGTAATTAATATTTGTTTATAAAATTTGTTTTATAAACAAATTTTAAAACTGTCAAGTACTTTTAACTGCACCATCAATTTAAGCTCATTGCCACTCCTTAAATTTTTTAAAAAAATAAGTTTATTTATTTTACTTAGTTTCAAGTATACAGTACATTGGTTAGACATCTACATAGCTCACAAAATGATCCCCCCAATTGCTCCTTCCCTCCTCTGGCCCTCCACCTAGCCATCATATTAATGCTAACTGCATTCCCTATGCTGTGCTTCCGGGGACATCCCTGTGATCATCTGTCAACTACTGATTTGTACTTTTTTAACCCTTCACCCCATTCTCTCAGACCCCTAACCTCCCCTCGCCTCTGTTCGTCACCAAATTGTCCACTATATTTGTGAGTCTGTTTTTGATTAGCTTGTTCTTTTTGTCCCTTAGATTCTGCATGTAAGTGAAATCATATGGTATTTATCTTTCTCTGTCTTACTTATTTCAATCAGCGTAATAACCTCTAGGTCCATCCGTGTCATTGCAAATGGTAGGATTTCATTTTTTTAATGGCTGAGTAATATTCCATTGTGTATATGAACTATAATTTCTTTATTAAATCGTCTGTTGATGGGCATTTAGGTTTAGGTTGCTTCCATATCTTAGCTGTTGTAAATTGTGCTGCCATAAATATTGGGGTGCATAGATCTTTACGAATCATTGTTTTGATTTTCTTTGGATAAATACCCAGGAGTGCAATTTTGGGTCAAAAGTAAGATCGGTTTTTAAGTTTTTGAGAAACCTGCCTGCTGTTTTCCAAAGCGGCTGTACCAATTTGCAATCCCACCAACAATGTATGAGGGTTCCTTTTTCTCCGTATCTTTGCCAACACTTGGTTTTTGATTTATTGATGATAGCCATTCTGACAGGTGCGAGGTGATATCGCGTTGTGGTTTTAATTTGCATTTCTCTGATGGTTAGCGACCTTGAACATCTTTTCATATGTCTATTAGTCATCTGTATTTCCTCTTTGGAAAAGCATCTATTCAGGTCTTCTGCCCATTTTTTAATTGGATCGTTTGGTTTTTTGTTGTTGAGATATAGCCACTCCTTAAATTCTTGCTTTTAATTCATGGTGCCTAAGGAAAGTTATTGTGGCACTAAATGTTTTGAAACTTTTTATACCTAAGACTATATTGCTGGTGTTCTTAATGTGAATGACTACTCATCTGAATATAGAATTCTTGGGTTCAACTTTTATTCTGCAGGGCTCTGTACATATGACTTGGTCTATTAGTATTGATTGTTATGGAGGAGTGTGAGACCAACCTGATGTTTGCACTTTTGAGAGACTCTACTTAGATGTTGAGGTTACTGTTTTTTTCCTTATGTTTAAAATTCCTCTCAAATTATGTCTAGGTGGGGTTCCGTCTTTAAAAAACAAAACAAAACATGACATAGCTTTAGTTTTCTTTGGACAGAAAAACCTGGTTGAAATTTCTGTTGTATTTCAAAAAGCCTTGATAAATATACCATCTATGGGCTTTTGAATCCCCCCCCCCAAAAAAAAAAACAAATAAAAACTTTTGTTTTGGAATATTTTATTCTTGCAGAAGAATTATAAAGATAATGCTGAGAGTTCCCAAGTACCCTTCTTCTTGTTTTTGCTGTATAAATCTTACATAACCATGGTACAGTTATTAAAATAAGAAATTGACATTGGTACATACTATTAAACTAAAGATTTTATTTAAAATTTCCCAGTTTTTTCACCAATGCACTTTTTTTTTTTATTCAAGGATCCAATCCAAGACACTATTTTGTATTTAGTTAACATGTTTCCTAAATATCTTCCAGTCTGTAACAGATCCTTACTTAGTCTTTTCTTATCTTCCATGACCTTGACACTTCTGAAGAGTACTGGTCAGGCATCTTTTTAGAATGTCCCTTAATTTTAGTATGTCTGATATTTTCTCATGACTAGACTGAAGTTTTGGCTTTTGGGGAAGGATATGACAGAAGCGATGTGCTCTTCTCATTGCACGTTACAGGGTACATGATATCAGTGTCTTATTACTGATCCCGTTAACTTTCATCACTTGGTTAAGTGCTTTCTGCCAGGTTTCTCCACTATAAAGTTGCTGTTTTTCCATTTCCATATTCTATTAGAAAGGAGTCACCAAATCCAGCTCATAGTCAAGGGAAAGATTAGGCTTCACCTCTTGAAGGGAGGGAAATCAAAGAATTTGAGGACATATGTTAAAACCACCACAGTTATAAGTATTTTGGGGAAGAGGCTTTGAGGCTGTGGAAATATCCCACTTCTCCTTGAGCTTTTGCCCATTAATTCTAGCATTCATTGGTGGGTCTTTTCCTGCACTAATTATTACTATGGTGGGACTGCCTAATGGTGATTTTTCCCTCATTTTTTCTGTATTTAATAATTAGAATTATTTGGCTATTTATTCTTTGGGTTCCCCGTATTTAAAAAATTGTCTGAAATATGCCAGTGTAGCTGTCAGATTAAGTTTTTCCTTCTGTTTTTTTTTTTTTAGGATCAGAAGTTTTCTTCTAAAATTTCATTAATTCTTCCTGTTCTAGCTACCGTTTTTATAATCTTTATTGAAATATAATAGACAATTAGTTGCTCGTGTTTAATGTACAATTTAACGAGGTTTTTTTTTTTTCAGTTATAATTGGCATACAATGATATACCGGTTTCAGTTGTATAGCATAGTGATCAGGGATCCACATAATTCCCAAAGTGATCACCCCACTAAATCTAGTACCCCTCTTCCCCCTTACAAATTTATTCAACATTATTAACCATCTTCCCCATGCTACTCTCCATCTCCATGTTTATTCTGCAACTATCCGTTTGTACCTCTTAATCCCTTTGCCTCTTTTTTTGTCCCCTTAACCCTCCTCCCATCTAGTACCCCTCAAAATATTCTCTGTATCTATGTTTATTTCTGCTTTTGTTGTTGTTGATTTTGTTCTTTAGATTCCACATGTATGTGAAATCCTGCAGTATTTGTCTTTCTCTATCTGACCCATTTCATTCAGCTCAATACCCTCTAGGTGCATCAAGGCAATATTTTTTTCCATCTCCTTTCTTTTAGTATGTGTGTATCTTTTAATCTGAAATTAGTCTCTCATAGGCATCATATGTATGGGTCTTGTTTTCTTACTCATTCAGCTACTCTGTCTGTTGGTTGGAGCACTTAATTCTTTTCCACTTGAGGTACTTTGTTGATAGATATGTAGTTATTACCATTCTTTATTCCTGTTTTTGATACATGTTTTTTCTTCTTAAAGAAGTCCCTTCAACATTTCCTGTAATATTGGCTTGGTAATAAATTTCTTTAGCCTATTTTTGTCTGGGAAGCACTTTTATCTTTCCTTCGAGTCTAAATGATAGCTTTGCTGAATAAAGTATTCTTGGTTGTAGATTCTGGGTTTTCATCACATTGAATATTTTGTGCCAAGGCTGCTTTCTGTCCTGCATCGTTTCTTTTGAGAAATTAGCTGCTGGTCTTATGGGTGCTCCCTTGTAGGTAACTAACTGCTTTTCTCTTGCTGCTTTTATTATTATTTTTTCTCTTGCTGCTTTTAAGATTTTCTCTTTGTATTTAACCTTTGGCATTTTAATTATGATGTGTCTTGGTATGGGCCTCTTTGGGTTCCTGGTTTTTGGGACTTCTCTGAGCTTCCTGGGGTTTTATGTTCATTTCCTTCAGCAGGTTAGGGAAGTTTTCCATCATTATTTCTTCAAATAGCTCTTCAGCATCTTATTTTCCTTCAGGTACCCCTATGATGTGGATAGTTTTACCTTTAATAGCGTCCCGTAGGCTCCTTAAATTATTATAGTCTTGGCTTCTTCTTGCTGTTCTGGTTGAGTGTCCTTGGCTTTCCTATCCTCTATATAGGTCATTTGATCCTCATCTTTATCCACTCCAGTTATTCCATTTATATAATTCTCATCTCAGATAATGTGTTCTTCATTTCTGACTGGTTTCCTTTTATAATTTCCATTTCCATTTTCATGTTTTTTATCTCTTTGTTGAAATTCTCACTGAATTCATCTACACTTCCCCTAAGTTCATTGAGCATCTTTATAACCAGTGTTTTGAACTCTGCATCTGTTTGATTACTTGACTCCATTATATCTGTATCTCTGTTCTGTTCTCTCATATGGTTTCTGCTTCTTTGTGTTCTCATTTTGGCTACCTTTCTGTGACTGTTTCTGTGTAGTAAGCAAAGCTCCTAAGTCTCCCGGTCTTTCTAGCATGGATTTGTGTAGTGGGTGTCCAGTGACACAGTCCTGAGAGGGGTTCAGCTACAGGTCAAATTTAGCCCCAGCCTGTGCCCCTCCGGGGTCACTTGTTAAGATTCAGCAAGCAATCCACAGATGCTGAGCTTATAGTTGCCTCAAAAGGCCACACCAGAAACCAAGGCCAGCTGCCACCAGTGTGAGTATAGGTGAGGATACACCTGGATGTGGCTTGGGTGGAGCCATGAGTTGTGAGAGGCAGAGTTTCAGGGAATCCTCTGGGCCGAGCAACCTCTGTTATCCAGTTTGATAACATCTTTGCTATGGTGGCGCTGAGTCTGTGCACTGGAAACGGAGAGGGCTCAACAGGGAACAGTAGATATCACCAGCACTTCTATACCGAGTGAGTCTCGCCTTGGTCCTCACTCCGACGGCTCACTGTCCCCCTGTAAGTCCCTGGTGCCCCCTGCGCAGCCGAACTGGCATGGTGCTTAGAGTGAGCAGGTCAGTCACCACGAAAGTCTGCTCGTGGATCTGGCCACTTTAAAAGGCGTCTGCAGCTGCCAGCTGCTGCTGCCACAGCCTCTGTCCCATTCAGCTGCTCGGGACCAGGCAGCCTGTTGTCCTTGCCCTGTCCTACCTTCTGCCGTTGCAGGGTGATTTCTTAGATTTCTCTTTAGTTGTATGGCTTCTTCATCTAGATTGTAGGTGATTTTTCCTTACTGTTTGCTCCTTTATTCTGTCATAACCTTGATTTGGTCACCAGAGGGATGAACAGAGCCTTTATCATTTACGCCATTTTTTCCCCCACTGGTTTTGTTTTTGAAGAATTCCTATTTTATTAAGATTGACTCTCCTTAAGGCATTTGTTTTATGGAAGATTTTTGAAACAAAATTTTAGAATACTGAATTACAGCACTGCCTTCCATTTTCCTCATTCAGGGTTCTTGGTCTTATGCTTGCTTCGTCCATTTTTTTTAGACATTAAAATACATATCGAAAACACCATGCAGGCACCAGAGTCCTGAGATTATTAGAGAATTTCTCACAGCGATGAAAAGCCACAAGTTGACCAAGTAAGTAAAAATTATCTTAAGTAGAAAGAGTGATACATAATGAAAATAACTTAAAAAAAGCCATCCTTAGCAACTTTGTATTTATATTTAGTTGAATTTTTAATTGTAATTAATACTCAGTGTGCTCTTTTAAAGTAGTATTATAGTATCGTAGATGAGACAACTGAAACTTAGATATAGAGATCCTTCTAGAGCCAGGAGCAGAACCTAGTGGGAATTTTTAATTTCAAAATCTTCTTGAGTCTTGGTTCTGTGACCTGTCCCATCACCCCCTCCCAGAATTCAGACCAAATTGATTGAAAAATGGGGTTCACAAATTAAACTCCTTTTTTAAAGTTGATTAATTTGTGTTTGCTTAGGGCAAAAATGGCTTGATAATGTTCTTTCTGCTGTTCTAGTGCCTAAATTCTTGGTGATTTTCTTGAATAAAGTATGATTGTAGGAATTAAAAACATCATTAAAAATTAGATCAGAAGTTTACATGTGAAGAAAACTACCTCTAGTCTTTTAAAGTTGACAAATCCCCAAAACTTTTGTCATTTCATTTAGGATAATCAATAATTTTCTTGTGGAGGAACCATTTGGTATTATTTTTCAGACACACAGTTGGTACCCTATCAGTAAAGTAAGTGCACTTTTCTCCTTGCCTCTCTTCTCCAAATCAACTCTGAAGACAAACATCTTTCAAATGTGCATACATGTGCATGTGTGTGGTTTGTTTTATTTTTAATTGTGGTAAAATATACAGAACATAAAATTGATCATTTTAATATTTTTTTAAATATAGTTTATTAGTGTTAAATATATTCACATTGTTGTACAACCAATAGCCAGAACTTTTTAAACTTGCAAAACTAAAACTCTATAAACTAAATAGAGTTTTAGTTTTGTGAATTGGGCTACTCTAGGTACCTCATGTAAGTGGAATCATACAGTATTTGTATTTTAAAAAATATCCAAATATTGTTTAATATATATGTGTATATACTTTAACCATTTTTAAGTGGGCAATTCAGTGGCAATAGGTACATTCACATTGTATAGCCATCACTGCCATCCATCCAACAGAGTAGTTTGAACAGTGACTTCCCATACTCCCCTCCCCACCCTCTAACCCTTGGCAACCACCAGTCTGCTTTCTGTCTCATGAATTTGACTATAATCACCTCCTATGAGAGACTCTGTAGTATTTGTCCTTTTGTGACTGGTTTATTTCATTTAGCATAATGTCTTCAAGTTTCATCCATGTCGTAGCATGTGTCAGATATCTCTTCCTTTTGAATATTGCACAATATTCCATTTTATGTTTTTATATTTTGTTTATTTATTTATTGATGTATTCTTGGATTGCTTTCACCTTTTGGCCTTGTGAATAATGATGCTTCTGTGAACATGAGTGTACAAATACCTCTTTGAGATTCAGCATTCAGTTCTTTTAAGTATATGCCCAGAAGTCAAATTTGTTGGATCATACAATAATTTTATTATTAATTTTTTGAGGAACTGTCATGCTGCTTTTCACAGTGGTTGTACCATAAGTTTATTTTCTACATGTCAACATTTTTATTAATACAGACTTTAATCTGAAATAGGCTAACCCCAGTCATGTTGATTATTTCTGTTTGGAATTGGTTAAATCAAAGAAAAAAATTTAAATTAATTTTTAATATATTTTGAATATATACCATGGGAAATATTCATTTAATGATATCTTATTTGTTTATGATATCAAAAGGGTTCCTTCTTCCAAAATAAAGGTTCTGAGATAAATTTAAGATTCTTTTGAATGAAAAATAAAAAAACATCTAAAACAGCTTAAAAATAATGCAGCACATTGTTAGGCATACTTAGAAGACAGGAAAGAATGTCCACTGAAAAGAAAATTTGAAACATGACCATAAACCTTTATGAAAAATTACAACAAACTCTTTGTTCATTTACTTTTAGCTATTTCATAAATATCAGAAGAGAAATTGGCCAGTTTGTGATGAAACTTAGAAAAATTTCTTTTTCCATAAGGCAGACTTCTAAATTTTTCCCTTTGGCTTCTTTTTCTAATCCTCCTTCACTGTTCTGAAGTGATATTGAGTTCTTCCAGATTTTGGTTAGGTGGATGGCTTCCAAACTAACTGGACTCTCCAGGTAGGTAGCTCCTACACAGGGTTTTCCTGTCACTGGATCTCCGTCTTCTCCAACTTTGAGAAAGATCTCAGCTAGCTCATGTTTCATATGTTTCCTTTGTGGAACAGGTAAAGTTTAAGAAGCACAATATCTGTTACTGTGCACTGCTGAAGAGCATTGTGAGCAAAGTAATTTTTTTTATTTATTAAAATACTTTAATAAATAGGGATCCAGAACAAACCTCGTCATTCTCACGTTAGTAGTTTTTTGCATTGCTGTCCCAATCACCTTCCTCACGATCCACTTGGCATGGACAGATGCATGCATTATTGACATTTCAGGTGGTTTTGGTTACCTCCTGGCTCCACTGTCCTGACACACGACCCCACTTCTGGGTTTTGTTTTGTTTTTTTTTGTGGGGGTGGGGGGATAATCGCCATCCTAATGGGTATGAAGTGGTATTTCCTTGTGGTTTTGTTTTGCATTTCCTTTATGATTGGTAATGTCGAGTATCTTTTCATATGTCAAGTATCTTTTTATGTGCTTAATGGCCATTTGTAATCTTATTTGAAGAAATGTTCATTCAAAGACTTTTGCCTATGTTTGATTTGGGTTGTTTCTTTTTTCTTGTTGAGTTTTAGGAGTCTTCTATATATTCTGGGCCTTAATCCCTTATCAGATATGTAATTTGCAAATATTTTCTCCCATTCTGTGGGTTGCCTTTTTACTGTGTTGCTAGTGTCCTTTGATGCACAAATGTTTCTAATTTTGAAGTCCAGTTTGTCTATTTTTCCTTTGTTTCCTGTGCCTTTGGTGTCATAGCCAATAAATCATTGTTTAATCCAATGTTATAAAGATTTCCCTGAGAGTTTTATACTTTTATCTCTTATGTTTAGGTGTTAGATTTATTTTGAATTAATATTTGTAGTGTAAGATAAGGATCCACCTTCATTCTTTTGCATGTGGATATCCATTTTTCCCAGCACCATTTGTTGAAAAGATTGTCCTTACACACTGAGTGGTCTTGACACCTTTGTCGAAATCATTGACCATATATGCAAAGGTTTATTTCTGGGCTCTTTATCCCATTGGTTTATATGTTTATCTTTATACCAGTACTGCATTGTTTTGATTATTGTAGCTTTGTACTAAGTTTTTAAATGAGGAAGTGTAAGATAGCCAACTTTACTCTTTGCTTGGCTGTTTAGGATCCCTTGGGATTCCACATAAATTTTAGGATGGATTTTTCTATTTTTGCAAAAAACGCTTGGAGATTTTGATAGGGATTGCACTGAATCTTTATATTGCTTTGGATAGTATTGACACCTTAACAATATTAGGTCTTCCAGTCCATGAACATGGGGTGTCTTTCCATTTATTTGTGTCTTTGCCTGGGCATTGAGAAGGAGCTTTTTCTTCTGGGGAAAAGAATAAAGCTATTTCCTTCCAGTAACCAGGCAAGGGAGTTTTTCAGTCTAGAAATTTTAGAGTCAGTATTGGACTCATAGCTATTTCTTTTAAAATGATTTATCATGTCATTAATATACAAGCAATTCATAAGTATTGCAGAACAGTTCCATCACCTGCAGAAATTATCTATCCTTTTGTAATTAATCCCTTCTTTTATGCCCACTGCCCAGTAAACAATCTATTTTCTTTTCCTATAGTTTTGCCATTTCTAGAAAGTCATGTAAATGGAACCATATAGTATGTAGCCTTTTGAGTATGGCTTCTTACACTTAGCGTAATGCATTTGAGATTTATTCATGTCATTGTATATATCCTTAGTTGATTCCTTTTTGTTGCTGAGTAGTGTTCCATTGTATGAACGTACTACAGTTTATTCACTCACCAGTTGAAAGATATTTGAGATGTTTCTAATTTTTGGCAATTACGAATAAAGGTTTTTGAGTGAACATAAGTTTCATTCTCCTGGGTAAATAACCAGCAGCAAGATTGCTGAGTCATACAGTAAGAAAAAGTTTAACTTCATAAGAAACTGCCAAACTCTTTCCTGAAATGACTGCACCATTTTGTATTTGCCCTAGCAATGTAAGAGAGTTCCACTTACTTCATATCCTTACCAATACTTGGTATTTTTAATATTTTTTATATTTAGCTGTTCATATTGGTTTGACATAGTATTTCATTGTGGTTTTAATTTGCATTTCCTTAATAATGAATAATGTTGAGTATTTTTCTTGTTCGTATTTCACTTATAAGCTTAGGTAAGGTGTCCATACAAATATTTTGCCCTTTATTTTATTTTACTTTTTTATAGTTTTGAGAGTTCTTTGTATATCCTGGTATGTCTTTTTTTCAGTATGTAATTTGCAAATATTTTCTCTAATCTGTGGTTGTCTTTTCATTCTTTTAACACTGTCTTTCTCAGAGCAGAAAGGTTTAATTTTGATGAAGTCACATCTGTCTTTTCTGTTTTCTCTTATGTATCCCGCTTTTATTGTTGTATGTAAAAACTCTGCCATACCCAAGGTCATAAAGATTTTCTCTTACGTTTTCTTCTAGAAATGATTCATTTTAAGTTAATTTTGAGGGTATAGTGTGAGATGGGATTCATTGAGATTCATTTTTTGTGTATGTATAGGTATCATACTGTTTTAGTACCATTTGTTGAGAAGACTATCCTTTTTCCATTGAATTGTCTTTGTAGTTTTGTAAGAAACCTATTTAATGTATTTCTTTATTCCTTATTCTGTTCCACTGATCTATGTGTCTTTTGCCATTCATTACTACACTGTCTTGATCACTGTAGCTTTATAGTAAATGTTGAGATCAAATAATAGAGTTCTTCAGCTTTGTTCTTCTTTTTTCAAATTGTTTTGCCTTTTTTAGTTCCTTTGCCTTTTCATATAATTTTT